CAAATAAAATCGAGGTCCTAAACTCCCATGAAACTAGCTCGGCGGTGACGTAATATACTACTAATAAGCGAAAGATTCAGCTATGATCGTGGTGAGTCTCCTGCACAACCGAACTGGCTTGCTAATGAGTGTATTTCGCTAGCACAGCGGTGTTTCTACGATGCAAAAAGCGCGGATAGCTTCTGATACATTAAATATAATGAAGTTACCGAGTATGTATAATAAAATGCAGGCAAAACGATATCAGAGTCTAAAAGGCTTCCTTTGAGCAGCAGAGTGAAGTTTTGGGGAAATATCAAAACAACCATATCTTATTGCTGCTGGTTTTTCAAACCTGCCTTCCGTTTCTTGTGTACGCATGTTGGTTAGTTTTCTACACCGCTCAAAATCTGACTGTAAAAAAATCGAGTACAGTACAAACAGGGATACATGGATCGACCAATTTGCAAGCTGATATTATGGTCGTGTCATCGAACCGACCGTTTATGACCAAAAAAAGTCGATCTCTGAACACTACTTTGTGAAACACCTGTGTAGCAAAAGAGTCATCTCAAGAAAACTGATCAGAGTGGCACTGTCCGGCAAATTTTACCAGTTTAGTTTGTGGGATTTGTAAGACTTCGTTAGTATTATCACGCGACGCTGCACACAAACCCTTGTCAGCAATGAACCATTTGAATGCGTCCACCTGAATTCACACAACATTGACGTACGTGCGAAACTTCGAGATAACCTATAAGATTTTATTACCTGCACTAATGACGCATCAGCGTAACCATCAATCACTTACAGCCCGATGGACATTGCCGTTTCCAGATTGATTGCCCAGTTCTAGACATCTCAAAACAGCATTGCAGGTGAAAAAGTCTTCGGGTCAAACGCACTCGTCACACGTGATCCCAATGGTTCACTATCGACGACTCACCCTGCTGCAGACAAGTAAGTCATAGTGTCATAGTCATAGTGATACTACTGAGGGGGAGGCATGCGAGTAGTATGTTTTGCTCTTGTAAATTCGATTTGCGCCGCTTGAAAAGGGAGATCTGCGGAATTTGTAGAGTCGCTTTGTAGCGTTTGCTTGTATTTGAGCAATGAATGATTGGAGTCAATGAATATCCAGGAAAGTTCAAGAAGACGCGTTCAAGAGGAGATAGATATCCAAATGAATATCCAAGATGCAAATGAGAGTTTTGCTTCCCTGTCCAATAGTCTGTGACTGGTCAGTTGGCATTTTCTAATAACTAACTCCGCAGCAAAAAAAATTCCCTTCCTCGATATTCAATCATTCATTGCTCAAATCCAAGCGTGTTACAAAACGGCTCCACAAATTCCGCAGCAGATCTCCCTTTTCAAAAGACGCAAAGCGAATTTACAAGAAAAAAACATACTACTCGCATGCCTCCCCATCAGTAGTATCACCGTTACAATAATATCAGTCGGTTAATACGCTCGCTTCTGTGGACCGAACGCAATTCGGGGCTGATCGTGCAAAATTCAGGCGATGAAGGGTTTGTTGTGATCAGGACTCGTCGTTATACGGGTTTGGCGACCTTCATGACCTGGTCATCGAGGCACAGTTGGGATATGAATGGTGCATCGGCTTCACAGAACGCAAAATTCATGCAACTAATTCGGATGAAACCTGGACAAAAGACGTAAAACTTGGCTTGTTACAAAGTCATGAAAACAGCTATTTAAATTCAGACAGAAAACACGCGAACTGCTCTGCACTCAAGAGTGTTGCAACAAATACAACTGACTTTTAGCGAAAAAGCTCCTGAGCTGTTTTGGGCCGGGGGTCTGTTGGGGTGCTGCTCTGATTAAGTCCCCTTGACTTGTCCCTTCTCAAAGTCGAGTACTTCGGTTTTACTACTTTTTACGACAAACACTTTTGAAAATGCACCGCAAATTCCACCTCATTCTTGTGCACAACCTGCGTTTTATGCAGTTCACTTCGTGAATGGGCTCTGGGAGATAGAACATGAATTTACCGGAGTTCGCTTTCAGAAACCAGGTCAACCACTGTAAACAAGCTCGGTCCTGCTTTGCTTCTGCCCGTCTGAGAAACTAGAGGTGAATGTACGGCGGTCGATAATTTGGTTCGATTGATTACTCACGTGGCCTCCGATGATGAGCAATCGATCACAGTTTTGAACGCGTTTGATCCGAACTCATTTGCATTCACGCAGTGAGTGAACAAAATGACATTGATTGAACTACACTATGCGTGTGAACATAGCAGAAGCCATAACGTCCTAAACGAATGTGTAACAGACACACGTGTTATAGAGAAAAAGTACGAGGAAGGCATACGAACGACTAGAGCGGTATGAGAACCAGGTTCTTCGGACTTACTGCTCCAATTGGGCCTCAGAGATTACAATGTCTCCGTGTGCATTTCATTTTGAGCCTTCTTGGTGCACTCGTTATCCGTATTTTATCAGGACACGCCAACTATATTCTCTCCAGTTACCGTCCAACAATTCGCATTTGTTGGGCTTATCAATGCAAAAAGACCTGTCCATCCAGCTCTCTTTTGATAAACTTGATCAAGTCAGAATGTTCATGTGGAATACGGAACAGGGCATCAATTAATCTAATGTTATCATTTCGCCACACTAAAGGAGAAGTCGTGACAACGAGAAATAGTCCGTTAGAGTTACAGCGTTTTTGGAGTTGCCTGACTTCGAGTGATTTCAGGCAGCGGTTAGCACAACTACGACAACTGAAATTTCGTTATTTGAAGTTTCCATCCAACTTAACAAACACAAAGTTCAAACAAAAATCTGTGCTTCCGTACGGATGTGAAAATTTTTGCATGTCCAGCCTACATAACTGAAGTGGTGGTTCCGCATACTAGTCACCCATATGATTGATCGATTCTAGCTTCCGATGCTACCGAGAAGCTGCATAGGTGGTAAAAACAAACGGGTAGAACGCCGGACTCGTTGACGTCTCCTTCCAGATGAGTTAGTGAGAATAATCGCACATGGACAAGAAGGGCATATTCTACGCGAAGTTTCTATGAGAATGTAGCAAGGTGATGACTTTGCTACCTTGCTACCTGGTAAGGGCATCTGCCAAACAGTACCTCTTCTCGTTCACCAAAGACAATTCCAAAGGATCTGTTTACCTGACTTTGACTGATTACGCGACATCAATTCATTTCATAGCAAGAACTGATAGAGGCTTGGTTGTTCAACTAACCAACAAACCGTTGGATTCAATCCAATAGGAATCACCGCCACCACTCAATCTGCCGGAAGAGACGTACACTTCCAGTGCCAGATGTAAAGTTTCCAAATTTATTCATCCTTCCTAAACCCTATCAATACGACTCTGGTCAAAGAGTTTAGAGTGATTAGATCTCACAGCAGAAGAACTTTGCTAACAGTCGTGGACGACAATCCGCGAGTCAACAAAAGCTACTCGAGCCATCTGTCTTTTCTGTTCGGAATAATTTCAACAGCTCTTCGTGTATTCGCTTTCTTGCAGTGACATCAAAGTTAAAGTGATCAGCTTTATTCAAAGTGTTAGAATACCACCAAACGCAACTCCTCCTCAGAATGGCACCAACAAACCTCACGAAGTCTAGGCACAGACCGCTTTTCCTAGTGAGAACCTATCGGTCAACATAACGCAGGTATTGTTGGTTGACTCAATATGCCCATTCATCAGACCTATCTTCTGCATGTGTATTCAACTTGAAATTAGTTTTCTATATGAGGACGGTACTTCATACGTTAACGGGAAGTAGTTACAGGCACAAGAGAATAAATGAATGTCATGGAACCCAATGCACTAAACCTCACCAGGAATACGCTGAAAGTCACGCTGAACACCGTACTCCTCCTCGTTCTCGCTTACTGCTGTTTCACCTCAGGACAACAGAGACCTGCAATACATCAAACGTATCTGCCAGCTGAGAGTAGACTTCTAATAGCAAAAAGTACAGCCCGAAGCAGGTGAGAGGAGCGAACCAAATTTTGACACATTTATTGAAGACCACAGAGACTTGTCTGAACAATTACCAAAATAGCTATTTGAGGCAGCTAACAAGCGACCCAAGTGCATCCGCGAAATCATTCCAACCGCAACCCTGGATTATTTTAGGAGTATTGGCCGCCAGAAGATACCAAATGGTATTCGTCGAGCATAGTATGTGGTCATTAGAAGACTGAAACCGAAAGTTCTGTATTCAAACGGCTTCGCCATTAGCTCCCTTCTTATCTAGTTCTCTTGTTGGGTCTCCCCAGAGACTTGTTCTGTGTATAAAACATTAAACGTGAGCATACATGCACCCGAGTTTGATTACTTGGTTACATTTTACGTTCTCCTCCAAGCTTCCCAAACATTCATATTTTCTTTTCTCACACCACCCATTCCACATCACTCGACCATTAGCATGTGCTGTGATGTGCGTCCCAGTGTTTAGTTATTTTTAATACGACAAGGGTATATGGTGGAATAATGTGACACAGTAATTCCAATTATCCCACCGGAGTTTTGTCTTGCTTGCTTGTTTCAAAGTCATTGGGAAAACCCAATATTTTGCAGTTCCGGTTGAACATGATCTGCAACTAGTGAGATCATGATCCTATTGAATCCTGCATAAAGTCGAATTGTGCTCCACCGTTTAAGGCCACCATACTTACACAAGTTTCACCTTCCAGTGCTCCCTCGGTTCACTATCCTCATAGGGCCCTGTCCCGTCTTTTACACTCTTGTGCCTTAGACTACCACAAATCTGCATTCCCATTGGTTGTCATGTCGACCAATCAGCTAAGGGCCAGCCGCTACCAGCCCTGTCGTTCACTTATGCACGAAGGTGCGTGTCTGGCATGAACGTTGCTTCAGCTACGTGACATACACACGTCAACTGAAGCAAACAGCTTTCGCACAAACTATTTCAACTCATGAACTCAGCTTATTCAAACAGGATTTGAGTGCTTAAAATACGCCTGTACGAATTTTGGTCCAACCAACAGCCCACATACTCAATGGATGATGCGACACAATTTACATCCTGCGCTTCTAGTCGCATTCAGTGCTATCTGTGTGATCTACCCCGCTATCCGTGGGCCATGCTGTCGGAATTTTCGGAACCCGTATGCCGAGGTTGTGTGAATTACGAAGGCGCCGACCGAATCGAATGCGTCATCGGACGTGCACGCTTGATGAAAATACATCTCTTACCACAGCTGTTTTCCTCGAGGTTTCTGATGGAACGTTTCGAGGGGCTGGCAAGCCAACAGCATCAGCTGCTAAATGGGAAGCCTGTGGAAAATGAAGAAGACGGTTATCGAATCCCGTCAGCAGAGTCTGAGACTGGAACGGTGCGAAACCCAGTCCGGCTGAAGGCATTTAAATCTACTTCATTGAGTGCGCCACGAGCGACTGCTTTTGACCATTCTGCTATCCAAAGAGCAGAGAGACGAACGTCTGTAGTTGATCCAAATGCAGTACAAGGTCAGTTCACCACTCAACCATTTGGTTGTTTTCCGGAGAGTGTACTACGGTCCTTGTCGCTGCCTACGCAGAATAATTATAATCTGCTGGAACAAACGAAAGTGCCGCGTCCATCGGAGCACGATCGGCCAACCAGTTCACGAGCCATGTCAGTCAGTGATCCCAGGTTGAAAAATACACGTGCGAATTTGCCAAAGTCTTCTGATCCGCACAACAGTGATCCTATTGGAAGTTCGATGGAGCCACATGCAGATTTGACGACAGTCTCCACGGGAGAGGAACAATCCGCGAGATCTAATAAACCAGAAGAAACATTGCTAAATAAATATGCACCATTGAGGCTAGTTCAGACGGAGACAAAGGATGCTACGAATCTAAGTACCAGCGCACCCCTGAACGGTGTAATAGTTAGTCCGACCCAGACGTCCCAACAATCCGGCACACAACTTTTTCGGGATTCCTGGGACGTACCGGATACAACAGCGAGTTTATCAACAGCGTCTACCCTTCCTACTTGGAACGGAAATTTACTAACTGCGTATTTGAATCTTCTCAGTGGAATATTCCACTCTCCGTACGCCTTGAATGCAGAACGCAGCCTGACAAATAATCTGATGCAGTCAAAGTTGTGCAGCTTTATTGCAAGTTCGTCCAGCCCACCGACATCCGATGCATCCTTGAAGCTGCCCATACGTGTCCGTTTACGCAACCAGCCTCAAGTTCAAGCCGCACTTCTCGGACTATCAAACATAACAGAGGATACTGATGGAAGTAACGTTGCGGCAAATACTGTTTATTTCGAATTTCCCATTGGATCACACCACATTTTCACGGGAGTTCCCGAACTTTTACGTCAAATGGATGGTGCATTAAGAGATACGACAGATCGTGATATCAAGCTGGCTATTGAAACTTTGGAATACGAAGTTCCGAGGGGAAGTCCTACAACCTGGGCTCCTTTAAATGACCTCATGCATGCTCTTGATGAGCTCATAGGGCAACAACAACCGCATAACACGAACCCGAACAACAAGATTTCTTCCACGTTTGTTAGCAACCTTGGCAACGAGTTTGTCTCAGCTGCGAAATCATGTTGCACTGGTGAATCAGAGACTACGATCCGGTCTGCACTGTCTGAACAAGTGGAAACTGATATGTTTCGGAAGCGTCCCATTTTCTCAATGGATTCCTCTATTTTACCCGATTCAGTAGCGTCCAAACAACCGCGGCTACAAAATGTTGACGAAACGATGCTCTTTAAGAGCAGCTTACTTGGATTACACCAAGCCTTTTTCCCTAACATGCATGCGAACACAAGGACCCGACTGCCATCTGGAACACGTTCTCAAACAAAGTTTGTTTCATGTAGTCTGTGCCCTCGTCATTTGGAAGGAAGTCATTTTGTTCAGTGTCCGGCCAATCCCGAGCATCGGTTCTGCTTTCAGTGCGCCCGGAATTACGTCGAACGTGCCATGCGTGCAGCTCAATCAAGCCCAGAAGAAATCAATTCTGCACTTAGACAACAACGAAATGTCGAAATCTACTGCCCAAGTGGGAAGCTCTGTGTTCTACCCGGATCAAAGCACCCTTGGGCTTTTGTCGCTTCTGAGATTGCAGCAATTATCGGCAAAACACAATTGCCGGAACCACAGCTAAGAGATACACCGGTAACATCCACCTATGGACCGAGTGGCACGAGATCACACAAGGACATCGTAACAAATAAGAACAACTCGGCCCAGACTTCACCAAGTTCTAAAGAGACAAGCGATGAAACCTTATCTTCCCAAAAGAACCCTCCAACACCCCCGACAAAACAACTGTCCAAAAGCGTCAAAACTTTGCCACCTGCAAATAAAACGGATCTTTTAGTCACTTCCAAAACGCGACCTTCCAAAGTTATTCCAAAACTCTCCTCTACCGATGAAGTTAAACCCATTTTGGGAAAATCAATGCCTCATGAAGAGAACACTTCTCCCGAAACGCAGACCACAGGCGTTAGCGGTTCACGAGAAACTACTCCAATAGGATTAGAAGTCTGACAGGAATTAAGGAACACTAATTATTCGAGTTGCCGATCCTTCTACAATGCGATACTTGCTAACCATTTCCGTGTATATTTACAGCAAACGTTTTCATTCTCCTGTTATGCATTTCACTTGGTTTTTTCTTCATTTATGCACAGATTCACAGCCTACTGAATAAATTTTTTATTATAAATGATTATTCGCTTTCCCATGTACCGAATCTGAATTGTGCAGAGTAAAATGTTAGGCCATTTGTAGATTTGGACTTGGGTACAGAATATACGGTGTAGCGTCCGGTTTCTGAAGCATTGTGTGTAAGTCGGTTTTCTCTAAAGCTGGCAAATTTCAGATTGTTTGGAACGCCAGAAAGTTGCCAAAAATATGTAATTAATACATTTTGAGACGAACTGCGACTAATTCTGAGAATAAAATATCTAAATATTGGTATATTGTGGCATCACGTGTGAAGTTTTGAGTATCACGCATCTTTCGATGAGACAATTCAAGCCGGTTTTTGAAAAACATCAAGTAGAACTTAATACAAACGAGTTAACTGTGATAGTCCCGTCCGAACTTTTTCCACATCCAAGAATTTCCATCAAAATTTTACAAATTTTGTTTCATACTGCGGCAACAAAAACTGCCGTAAGATATGCTTCTTTGGACTCAGTAACTGCTGCGCAATCGGCGAAGAATGCTCAACAGCGTTTTGACAATAGCGCACGCCGATGCATGCAGCTTAACGGCTCACGTTATGGTCAACTGACGTCAACAAATTGGTTGGGTACTAATTCCGCTTACCATAGGTTTGTTCGTTGCTACGTTTATGTGATTAACTGTGTTCGTGCACCCTTCTGACTGGAAGGGTTGAGGTTAAGCAATCATTCATGACCGCCCTCTGTTGTCACCTCGTCATACGAAGCACCCGGTAAAGTCTGATGTGGATTTCTCTTCCATGTCGTGGCGATTGTTGCAACGTCTATAGGAGCCCGTCATCAGGTTCATATACCTATTATATCTGACAACGTGTGTACTTTCACTACCGCATCCCAAACATAAACTAACCTCTAATACTAACCACTGGGTGCGTTTATGGTTTGGATTTTCATGTCCGTGTAAATCTCAGTGGATTTTATAGACGTTCTAAGACTGCTTTAGTGCTAATGTACAGTTTTACCCACACATTAAGGGTAGCACAAGGCTGGCCAACGATATTATTCTTGTAAATGAGAAATGTCGCTACAAATACACTCATTTGCAAATCTGTTTGGTTTTCACGGGAAGTTCAAGTGAATCTCTCGTTCACAGGGTTCTTCAAATGAATGTGCTGCACAAAGGCCGCTTCGTATTTCAGCTTTTACGATAATCGGGATATCGCAGTATATTTTCATAAAGCAAACTATTCGAGAAGTTGCTGAAAACTCTTCTACAGCCCAAGACCGGCCTCCCCCCTTTGTGGCTCATCAGGTAGGCACAGTCCCCGAGTTTCCGTCAACAAATCATGCGGAGACAGGGAAAGTACTCTTGCTTCCTATGCAATTAATGCAGACAGAATTCAATGTCAGTCGAATCAGGAGAATCTATGATTTCAAAAAAGCCATACAGCCGGGGGTCTCTGTAAATGGACTGATCTTCTCGGACGTACGCAATAATCTTCTAAAGAAGGAGAAATCAGGTAGATAAAGTAATGCGAAATTCCCCATGGACCGGCTCAAGGATAGACCTAATATTGTTATTCGCCTCGTTTACGGGTGTAATTTATAGCACAAAGATGCCAGAAACAAATTTCATCACTCTCCAATGCGAAATCAGCATTCGCTTACTTTTCAACATGGCCTTAGGAAGGGTGCGGTGATCGTGCATGTTTGAAGTAACAAGCTATTGGGCTGCAGTTCGTTTCAAATCCAGTAGAATGTTTGGTCATAAATAGGAGAAAATGACTACTTAAAACAGTGTGCTCTCGGATCAGTTTCAAAAGTAAAGGAGCAAAACTCCAAACATCAGTTTTATTATCTAGTCATTGCATTTACCAATTTACATGAAGTTATGGATTCAAGTACACTGTTGGAACTGATAGGAAGTTAGAAACCTAGGCAAAAGAGCGTCAACCCTGTAGTCTGATCATGAAGTAACTTAGGAGTCGAAAATCAAGTCAGCGATTACCAGGCGTCTGGTCCAGATGGGACACAGTGCTCCCTCTCTCCTCTCTAGATCATGACTTGAAGCAGTTATTTGCAGAGACTGGAGTTTACCGAGGCAATGTTGACTCTGACTCATGCATGTACTGTGCACCCAGGAATACAGGTGGGTCATTCTGAGACTACCTTAGTTTTACTGAACGTTCACGTTAAAGTTTAGTTACATATGCAAATGTAGGTCGGATCGTTGTTGACACGTCGTCTTTAAAGTACGCTGCTAGGTTTCGGGAGAGCACTGAAGTGTACTGAAAATGAAGCGCTCGCAAGTATCCATTTTGGACCAGCTTTAGCTTTGATGGCGCTGCTGCACGTCCATATAGAGGAATTCACCACGCGTGACTAGTTCCATCAAAATTCACTTTCATCTGGTCTCATAAATTGTATTCCCTGAGTAAACTCTATAATAGATGGAGCCATTCTCCATCGGTCTCTCGGGGACATCTCCCGAGATTAGAACACCCTTGAAGATGATAGATTATCAGACGATGAATTCGAATAGAGCTGAATAGAACAATTATATTCGTGTATCTAGGTTCTTGTGAAGATCAGACCTTGTGTATCCCGCTCCAACCGTCTACCGAAGGAAGAACAAGGGCTCATGAACTGCCAGTTTGTCCAAGTCTAGACAGGAGTACTGGGGATGTAGAGGCCGGTTTCGAACCACGGACCATCCAGTCAGTAGGTTTACGCTTTAACCACTGGGCTATCTCGTGAGCAAAATAGTGAAAAATTCAATCACTGGACGCACTGTGTCACACTAATTCCAGTCCCTCTCAGGTCTCTCTGGTGACCTCTGAAGAAACCGATCGAAAACGAGATCGTTAGTCCAGTGGTATGTCTGAGATGGAACAAAAATTCAGGCGGAAAAAACTGCACCGTAAAATGGTCGATCTGGCCGTAATCCGTGTGACAACCCAAATGGTTTACCCAATTTTGCAGGAAATCTTGTATGGGTTTCAAGTTACTGCTTAATGCACACTGGCACCATTTATCCAATGACTTGATACAAGAGGAATAAAATCATTTCCAAAACTAGAAATTGCAAGCCATCGGTAACATCAGCAACTGCGGCGCAGGACTGAGTGATGTAAGGATTCGAGCCACGCGCTCTAACCACTTGGGCCATCTCACCCTTTCAATCATCCGGTTTTGAGAGGAATGCGTGTATTCTTGTTGTCGCACCTACAGTCGCTGAAACATTTCTGACCAAACGATGAAACCAGCTCGAAAATGAATTAAACCTCACGATTTAGCGTTGCAGGCGGGCGGATCCAGCCAACTGCGATTGGAAAAAGAGGGAACGACTAACAGCCGCTCTGGAAAGCTTTTGGTGTATGAGGGTCTGTGAAGTTACGCGACACTGCGTATGAACCAACAAGACATGAACGAAGTAGTTGTCGGTTTTTCTGAAAACAGATGAAGCTGGAATTTTTTTCTAGTATTTCTTTTTCAGAGCACTAATACAAAAACAGGCATCTTCTGTAAATGTGAGACATGTCTGATTTTCTGATGCCGATTATCAACTTCTGTAGGATTACACTACCATTTCAGTTTGTGTAACGTGAATTCTCGGAATGCTCTTGATCGATCGATGAAAACCGTACGCAAAAATGGCAAAAGGAACCCAAAAGCCCCGGGGCCAGAAAAAAACAACTGAGAATATAGCGCTAATCCAGGACGGCATAAAATCTTGACACGAAACTCAGTGAGTGTGAAAAGGCATTGCGTGTTCAGCTGCGTCTCCAAAAACAGACGTTGTACTCATGCGAATGCAGTTTACTGGCAAGTCACTTTAGAAGAAATTCTGCGTGAATTTCTAAGCCAGTCAAAAGTACTCTTGGTTCAAGGCAAATCGAAGTTTACGTCTCAAAACGTTGTTTGGGTAGTAACTGGTATGTTTGAAAAGTGGAATCTTCTCAATAGGGCCGCAGAACCAAGCCCATAGGGCACAAGAACTTACGGCCTAAAGAATGCGACACTTTTTCAAGGAATAATGTCACACTGCACAGTATAAACAGCATATATAGCGTACTGTATACAATACATACAGTATAACGTTACGGAATACGCGCAAATTCGCCGGAACTGTTTTAGAGGATTCATTCTATGGAGAAGTGCTGTCTACTTATCCAAACATTGACAATTTGCATGCAGGTGTTTCTGACAGCTTAATCAAATGTTGAATATATTTTCCTTTCGGTCCGAAAAAAATGCCCCGTGGTTTACCGACATTCGCATTTTCATCTTGTAAACTTTATCAAAGTATACTCTTTCTTGTGTTGTTCAATTATCTAAAATGCTTCGGTTGATGGAGTGGATCATCTGAATCCTCCCTTTGTGTCGCACTATATTTCCCTGACTTAACATACCGCGTGTCCATAATCAGTGTCGCAGTATTTTTGTCTGCACTGGACAGTCATGCGTGCCCAAGTATATATACTTCTAAAATACAGTTTTTTGGCAACATCCAATAAAAAGCAGAGTAACTTGTCTCAGCGAAAACGAGGTGGTGATATTAGCAGAGTAAGAGTCACCAGTCCGAACAAGATGAACTGACTAACCAGTAACCGAGCAACGACGACACGCGGAGTCGAGTGGGCGCGGAGACCGCTCCGTCAGTAGACCAGATAGGTGTATTTATGTTTCCGAATACTTTTAGCTGAACTTGGTATTCTGTGGTTTACATTGCTTTCGTTCTCTGCTGAATGCACTACTAGTGTAACAGCGGATACTGCTGATGAGTAGTAGTTGGTTTGTCGGACTCCGCCCTGATCTAATGGAAAGTGAGATTTATTACAGAATAATCGTCAAATGGTA